CTAGCTAGACATTTAATGATCCTCAAGTCAATTACACCACAATTGAAAAATAACTACTTGATTTAGTATTTGCTTTTGACAAATTTCGTCCATACTCGGTTGGAACCAAAGTAATTGTTTACACCGACCACTCGGGTCTAAAGCAGTTATTTTCTTAGAAGGACACTAAATCGAGATTTATTCGATGAGTTTTACTTCTTTAAGAATTTGACATTAAAATTTGAGATAAAAAGGATGTGAAATCCAAGTGATTGATCATTTATCCCGCTTGGAATCCGGAAGTGAGGATGGCAAGAAACTTGTAGCACCATATATATTTCTCGATGAAAGGTTGCTGGCCATCAATGATTTACCATGGTATGTAGATTTTATGACTTATTTAGTCAGTAGTATGTTGCCACTGGATCTTAATCATCAAGGTTAAACTAAGTTTATGTGAGATATTAAAGCCTACTTTTGGTAAGAACCTTATCTTTTCAAACAATGTAACGAAAAATTTTGAGGAGGTGTGTTCCTAAAAGTGAACATCAATGCATTTTGCATAATTGCCAAGCACACCATATGACGGGCACTTTGGGGGCATATGTACAACAACAAAGGTCTTTCAGTGTGGTTATTATTATCCATCACTATTTAAGGATGCTAATAAGTTTGTATAACATTGTGATCGCGGCTAGTGAACAGGTAGCATTTCTCATCGTAATGAAATGCCAATGTAGCCTATACAGGAGATTGAACTCTTCGATTTTTAGGGATTAGATTTCATGGGACCATATCCATAATCTTGTGGCAACATCTTCATTCTTGTTGCTATAGACTATGTATCCAAGTGGGTTGAAGCTGTAGCATTACATTCAAGTGATACCAAAGCAATTCTTCGATTCCTACACAAACATATCTTTACTCACTTCAAAATATCAAAAGCCTTTATTAGTGACGAGGGTTCCCAATTTATTGCTCGACAAATAGTGAATGCTTTACAGTGTTATGGAGTCAAAAATCACATTATTACAATATATCACCCTCAGATAAATGGCCAAGCCGAGATCACTAATCACGAAATAAAACAAATCTTAGAAAAAGTAGTGAATCCTTCAAGGAAGCTGATCGGTTGTAAATGTATATGATAAGGCAAGCAATTCTGTGCAAGTATAAACAATCTAATCAAGTAATATAGGGTAAGTGAGTATCGTCTCCTCAGGGATAGGTTGAACGTTTTTATGCTTTACCACAACCAGAACTAGTTGTCACAAGTTAATTCCTACTATCTTGTCAAAATAAAAATATATTATTAATAAAACAAGAAAGTACTATAAAGTATGATTGTAGAAAAGTTTAGTCGAGACAAAATAAAAATGCAAATTATCAAAATAAAACAAAACAAATGCAAATGTTGATTCAAATATAATTCAAACAACCTCGCATATTCAGACTTATCATAGAGCACTTATGCTAATATTTTGCATTGACAACAATTATTCTAATTCCAGAATGAATTATTATGACATGCTTAAGCTGCCCGACAAGATTACTAAGTATTCTTAGATGGTTGCTATGGCAATACCACTCAGCGTTAACTATAACCCTTAGTTTGTCAGATTGTTGTCTCTCAGCATGAACTATAGTCATTATCTATCATACTCTAGCGTATATCCCTTTTAGTCGATTCAAACCCCCTCCTTATCTCCAAGGTAGACAAGTTAGAACATCACCATCTCGGTTCCATTCCATTGCTCACGTAGACCTATCTTAATTCTCTCGAATCTAAGAATCACTATCTAGACAAAAGGCGATCTCTCGATGCTCTTACATTGCCAAGACATGTTTCATCAAGACCCTAGGCAATCTCTCGAAGCTCTTATAGTGTCAAGGAAAATTAATCAAACTATGAACAAAATAGTCATGAGCAAAAGCATAAGTCATCATTTATAAAATAGAAAATAATTGTCTAGGCAAAACAAAGATTAACACCAACTAAGACAGTCTTGGTGCTATCAAAAAGTCATCCAAGTATAACCATTTAATATAACCCCAAATACGTAAAGAAATTAAGAAAAAAGGAAGACTCCCAAAACCAGGGGCTCTGTCATGATAATTCTGATCAGCACCGTGCCTACCTTGATGATCAGCCTCTCTCAAGACCTGACCACTGCTTTGCTACAGTCTGGCTATGGAGGACACCAAGGAAGATGGGTTGGTAAACGGTGGGGAAGCATTGCAGTTACTTTCTCACACTTTTAGTAAAGCACTCTAACTTCTATCTCTCCTCTTTTGCGGCTACGATTGGATATTTATAGTGGGGAATCTCCTAGGGTTTCCCATGATTGCTGATTCCTTAAATAACCATTATTACTTTATCCAGACTAAAAAGGAAATATGGCTGGCGGCTGTCAGAATTTTGAGGGCTTGCTTGCACGTGAAGGAAGTCATCCAGCTGCCTTGTGACATAGGCGATTTCGTCATATCTGCTTCAAACTTTCCAAATAAACCTTGCCTTGGCGAGATAAATCTGCTCCTCACGTTCTTTATCTTCTCTATTCATTTGGCCCTTACAAATTACGTGTTCTTCCTTCGTAAATTTCCTACACATACATAATCCACACAAACCCTTTCTCCTCAACAGCATCAATTATACCAAATAAATATTGTCGAAGTAAAGCTTATCCACCACAAGCAAATATAACCTAAATGCAACTAAAATGATGTGCATACTTTGTTTAGACGAGCAATAACTTAAGTGAAAAGACTAGAAATTGATTCTTTTTACGGAGTTATAAGAAGGACTGGTCCCTATGACTTGAGGAAACTCTATGGGAATATAGGACATCCTATAAAACCCCTATAGGGATGTCTCTTTATTGCTTGGTATATGGGAAAGCTTGCCATTTACATGTGGAGCTGAAGCATAAGGCGATGTGGGCATTGAAAAAGCTAAACTTTGATCTTGATGTTGCGGGCGAAAAATGAATTCTAGACCTTAATGAACTTGAGGAGCTTCAAAACAATGCTTACGAGAGTGCAAAATATACAAAGACAAAAGCAAGAAAAGGCACAACAAACATATCTTGCCCAAGAAGATTCATGTTGGACAACAAGTTCTGTTATTCAACTCTCGCTTAAAGCTTTTTCCTGGCAACCTTAAGTCTTGGTGGTCTAGTCCTTTTGAAATGGCTGATGTATATCCTAATCGGCTTTACTTTTAAAGAATTTGATGCATGAGACCACGTTTAAAGTCAATGGGTAATGTTTGAAACATTATTGTCAACAATAATGCTATATCATTGCGTCCATCACTATAAAAGAACCCCTTCTTTTTAATCTTTCTCATTATAAATAAGTCAATTCTCTTTCCATTAGTTTAGATTAGTTCATTTTATATTTTAATACATTTTTCTATTTCTATTTTTCAGGTTGTTACTACATCTATATCACTATCTCCTGTCTTCAGTGTGCGCTCCTGTTGTGTAGCAATTCTGTCTAGTTAAACAAAAGGCTATATTCAATGCTAGTAGCAATTGCCAGCTGGGCGGGTAACTTTTGGTAAAAAGTAATTTTTGTGAACTGTCACCCACTTTTACTCATCTCATCTCCACCATCCACTTTACCTTATCACAACCATTCATATTCTTTTATCTTTATCCTTATCATTTAATTTTTTTTTTAAAAAATAAAGAATTTTAAAACCTCTCTCCACCATCACATGCGTTCCCTTTACCCAACAACCCTAAAAGTAACTCACACTTATTTTATTTTCACTTTTTACCTCATTCTTCAACTGTTTCTCCTTCCATTCAAAGACTCTTCATTTTCTTGCTTTCCTTCTAAATATTTTCTTCCTTCAGCCATGGCTCCGAAAAAGAAGGTTACCATTAAGGGTTATAATCGTACCCCGACTCTTTTGCTACTAACCTTACCGGTGAAACCAATGGCTCGCTCTACTAACGAACCCATACCTTTCATGGAAGCCAAGTAGAACAGGCGATATTCGAAGGACTTTGCCGATTGTGAGTTTAGTAACGAACAAGGGTTTGATTTGTCCACCGTTGAAGATTTAAACCCTTTTACATATGTGACTGATACCATTGCAAGGTTGAAATGAAAGACTTTTCGCTTCCACCCAGGCGAGATTAATCACCATTGGGTTTGGGAGTTCTACAACAATCTGGTTATCGAAGAGAAAACCCTTAGTCTTTGTTCTTGAGAAATTAGATCACTGGTGGGCTAGACCAATAAACAACTTACTTGGCCTAGAAGATAGTGTTTGCGAACACACTGAGTTTGTAAACGATCTCACACCAGCTACTCTAGAGCAAGTTAGCAAGGATGTGTGCTTACCAGGCAAAACTTGGACCAAAATCCACTTCTGGCAGCTACACTATGCGCTAATTGGACCTCAATCGTGAGGCACATGTATGGTTTATTTTTCTTCGCACTCGTTTAATTAATGTCGACTATGCACTTTTCAATAATTAATAAAGATAGGATTTTATTGCTACATACTATTTTAATGGGATGACGAATCAATGTGGGAAAATCATTTCTGCTGAGTTGTTAGCATGTAGTAAAAAACTACTGGTTATCTGTATTTCCCATCCCTTATCACTGCACTATACCACAAAGAACAAGTAGTCTTTTTACCTACTGATCAGGTTTCAAAAAATCAGAGTGTTGTTACCATTGATGCTATAAAATGAACAATGTTAAAGGAGAGATTTGAGCTAGAATCATCAGCGCCAAAATTCAGTGAGCAGCTTGCCACTGGACAACCATCTAAACCTTAACCTGTTGATACATCCTTTGATCTGCTAAATGCTCTGACATTTATGGTGGCATGGCAAGATAATATAATGGCCATGCTGAGTCATACAATTTATATTCAATCACAAATGCACTCAACTCAGGTGCAGTATTAGCAATATACCCAGGTCAGAGACTCTGTGATGAAGAAATTGTCAATAAAGATGATGAAGGATTGTAAAGTTGTTTTTCTAGCATTCCCGATGGGTGTGCTTCCGGACCTTTCTCAGCCAAATGTGTCAGATGCTGCTGATAGTTCCAATAGCATTAAGGAAGTGACAATAGCCAAAGCTGATGCTAGGGAAGACATGATGGAAATCGAAGCTAAAACTGATGAAGTAGATGAGAAAGAAAAAAATAAGGAAGATGATGAGGAGAAGGAGGATAAGGTTGATTCGACTGCATCAACGGATGTGATTACAACCGGCTCTGATGATGTTGAGCTCATGGAAACAAACTAGAAGACACTTAGTCAAAAGAAAGAAAAATTAGAAGCTACTAGCCAATAGAAGACCGTTTCAAGATAGTTTTTGGACCTAAATGATGAAAAGGATTCTCAGGATAATGTAGCCACTCAACAACAAGAGTTAGATGTTGCCAAGTTTATTAGTGAGGTGCTGAAAGATATGGAGGAAATCGTGACTACAAGCCAAGCTAAGAATATTACCATTGAACTAATGGTCGATGTTGTGGGGCAATCATGGGACACCGACGTACTAATATCTATTGCTACAGCTACAGAGCCTATCGATTATGCCCATATAGACAGTAGAATTTTCAAGGAAATCTAATAGGTTATAAATAGAAAGCCTAAGATTTCGACTGTGAAGATTGTGGGTGGTGCTAAGGAAAACGTTAATGACCAAGATACTCGTACACTGAAACTAATCAAGAAGGTTCCTCTTGTTATCCCTGATGATGTTATAGTGAAAATCATGTCAACGTCCACAAGAAACAAATGGAAGAGCTTAATGAAGGCAAAGGTGACCTATAAGCGTGTTCAACCAAGTACTGTCTGCCTAAGGAAAAGCCATAGGAAATGAAATTAGGGGAGTTTTGTTCTCCTTTCTCATGTTTTCTTTATTTTTGGTTTTAGGTTTCTATGCATTGAGGGCAATGTACACCATAGGTTTGGGGGTGTATTGTCCAATTGTGTTGTTTATATATGATCATTTCATGTTGTTTGCATTGTTATATGTTGTTAGGCATTTTATTTTAGAATTATGTTTCATAAAACATTTTGTTTAGGATTTGCATAGATAATACCATAAGTTAGTGTTATAAAATCAAAGAGCTTTTAAATTAGTTTTGATGATGCCCAATGATGAGTCGTTTAAAGGATACAATGTTATGGAATAATTTAAGAACTTGTTCGAATTAGGATCCATAGAAAAATTTTATACCTTAGGTGTATGTTTTCAATACTTAGATAATTTAGGAATTTTTGAATTAAACTCACATATTTATTAAATGATGTAGCATTTCACAACTAGAGGTGCCTCAAACTAGCTCTTGTGAAAAAAACTCAACTAATATCTGACTCTAGTAATAATAAAGGTGAAATAAGTTTGATGTGCCTAAAATTCGATCCAACATTAGTATAAAATAAAATGATTGCTACAACATTGAAAATCATAAATTGAGTAGGTTCACATTTTTCTAAATTAGCTAAGTATTGATTAGATACACCTAACCTGCACACTTACACGCTATGGGTTGTGATTTGAGTAAGTTATTAATGTAATTCCTAATATGAGATTATATGAATGTTGTATGTATAACTGTAGCAATGAACTGAGGGCTGAAAGATAAAGTTAAATGCTAAGTTGATTTAGTAACATTGGTTTGTAGTATTATTGTTTAGGTTAAACTGCATTCATGCATGTTGTTTCTTGAGCAAAAGCAAATATTTAGGTTTGGGGGTATGATAACTCTCCAAAAGAGTTATTATATCAATCATTTATAACTAGGTTTAGTTTTAACTTAAGTATGTTTAGAAGCATTTTATGATCATTTTATTTACATTTGCATGCATTTTGAATCATGAGCAATTTGGTTTTTCTTGGGCTGATTTTTAGTTTTATTGTTAAAAAAAGGTACGAAAATGTTATAGGATTGGAGCGGAAGCTGTAGCAAGTGATGAACCATCAGGTGCTAAGTAGAATGTTCTAGACTATGGCAGCTATTATTTAACCAACCAACACCTAACGTGTGGAGCAATTTCATTGGAGATAGGATGGCTCATTTCACCTATATATAGGAAGGTCATTTCCACATTTCATCATCAGATTTTCAACACTATAGTTTCCATTTCTCATCACATATTCTCTCATCTCTTGCAAAGGCTGCTTAAGCCACTCAATCGGGGAGTGATGCAGTATATGAGGATAAGCTTTTACCGAGTAGCATTGGAAGTCAACCTAGATTACTTCATCTACACCTGTCATTCGCCTGAGATAGGGGAGTGTTAGGAATGATTAATTAAAGTTAATCTATGTTAGATACTTAGTGATAGATTTAAACACATGGTTATAGCATAAATTTCCTTTTATCATTCTGACCCATTTTATGGTTGATATTGTGCTTTACTCAATGTTGTAGCTTGAATTGAATTTACACTTTTAAAACTTGATGCATGTCGTTTTTAATCAACTCTTCTTATAACTCTTTTGTAAACTAATTTTTCTCCTTGTAGATACGATACTGGATGCTATGAAACATCTATTACTACTTGGGACAGCGTATACTTACGTAAGGCTAGAGCTTATTTTACAGCCATCAGCATGTATCTTTGTTCTCTAGCCTAGAAAGATGATCGACAACTTGATTCTTGGTACCTTTCCTATCCTTAACCTCTAGGTGAAATTCTTTCAACAAAAGTATCCACCTAATAAGTCTATTTTTAGCATCCTTTTGATTCACTAAGAATTTGATAACTTAGTGATTAGTGTGAACAATAACCTTAGTTCCTATCAACTATGTTATCAAAAGCAAATACTACATCAAGTAATTATTTCTCAATGGTTTTTTAGTTTATTTATTCTTCGTTCAAGGTACAACTAGCATAATATATGACATGAAAAATTGTACCTCGCCTTTTCCCTAGCACTACTTTCATTGCATAGTTGCTTGCATTGTACATCAACTCGAATGGGGGTAATCCAATCCGATGGAATGACAATGGGTTATGTGAAAAGTATTTCTGTTAGCTCCTTGAATGTGCTATAGCAATCTTTGCCGAAAATGAAGGGTTGATTTTGTTGTAGCAAAATACACAACGGCTTGGAGATTTTGGAAAAGTCTTTAATGACTCTCCTATAGAAGCTTGCATTTCCCAAGAAGCTTCTAATTTCCTTCAAGCTCGTGGGTCGACGTAACTTGTCGATCAACTCAACCTTGGCCTTATCGACCTTGATGTCCGTACGTGAGATATTGTGAGCTAGAATAATGTCCTCGGTCACCATAAAGTGACATTTTCCCCAATTCAGCACTAGGTCAACTTCCTCACATCTCTTTAATACCTTAGCTAAATTGCCAAGGCAATTCTCAAAATCATTGCCCAAAACAGAGAAGTTGTCCATAAAGGTCTCCAGAAATTCTTCCACCATATCTGATAAGATAGCCAACAAACACCTTTGGAAGGTTGTTGGAGCATTACAAAGTCCAAAAAGAAGGCATAAGTATCATAGGGGCAAGTGAAGGTTGCCTTCTCTTGATCCTCTTGTGCTATAGCAATCTGGTTATACCCAAAATATCCATCAAGGAAGAAATAAAAGGATTTTCCCGCCAATCAATCTAGCATTTGACCGATGAAAAGGAGTGAAAATGGTAATTTTTGGTTATCTTGTTAAGGTTTTGATAGTCCATACATATCCTCCACCCCGTGAAGGTCCTCATAGGTAAGAGTTTGTTATCCTTATTACTCACCACAGTCATGCCTCATTTATTAGGTACATATTGCACCGGGCTGACCCATGAATTGTTAGATATTGGGTAGATTACCCTAGCATCAAGCGAGTTAATGGTCTCCTTTATCACCACCTTCATAACAGGGTTAATACTTCTTTGGTTTTCTATCGAATTGTTGTGCCATTCATTAAGTAAAATTTTGTGCATGCAAATAGTAGGGCTTATACCATTAAAGTCAGCCATAGTCCAACCTAAAGCTTTCTTGTGTTGTGACAAAACATTTATCAAGCTATGTTCTGTCTTAGGTTTAAGAATTGAAGAGATAATCACATGCAATGTATCATTACTACCCAAATAAGAATACTTAAGATGTGATGGCAAAGGATTTAATTCAAAGGTAGGTGCATACTGTAGCGAATGTTTTGGAGGAATAAATTCATTAAAGTCTAAAGCTTTGAATCACATACCTGGTCTAGCTACGATCATGCTAGACTGTTGCACCTCCATTGGAAATTCCTTGAGCTCCTCGTTATCTTCTTCATTGAGCTTCACACAGTTATCAATCTGCACTAATCTGCTACAACAAAATTTGGTAGCTTCCTCTTCCACCATCGAATCAACATCTTGAAAGCATTGACACTCATTGGAATCATCCACATGTTTGAGTGTGTTGAATACATTCATGGTCATATTTTGATCCTCCACTCTTATGGTGAATTTACCATTCTCGCAATAGGTTAAGATTCGACTGGTGGCCAGAAATGGTTGCCCCAAAATGATGGGCGTATTGTCATCGGCTTCACAATCAAGGATAAGGAAATCGGCTGAGAAATTTTTCCCACCTTTACAAAAACATCTTTAATTCTTCCTTCGGGTCTCATGTGGGATCAGTCGGCCAATTGCAAGATAAAAGTGGTCGACCTCGCATTTCCAATTCCAAGCTTCAAGAATACTGAATTGGGAATTAAATTCACACTCGATCCAAGATCGCATAAGGCTATCCTCACATAATTATTGCCTATGGAGCAAGGAATGATAAAGATGCCCAAATATTTTTGCTTTAGTGGAAGTTTACTCAGCTAAAAAAACATCCATTTGTTGTGGCTGTTGTTTCATACTTCTCAACCTTTCTTTTCTTGGTGACGATATCCTTGAGAATTTTGCATATGTGAGAATTTGATCAATAGCCTCTAGGAATGGGATATTTATGTACAGTTGGTCAAGAATATCCATAAATTTTTGGAACTAAAGGTTTTGATTTTTCTATTTCATCCTTTAAGGGAAGGGTGATGGGGGTCTTTCTTTAGCTGTAGCATTATTCTGTCTACCATCAACATATTTACTTATTGAACCCTTATTCTCATCATTTTCCAAAGGTTCATTCTCTTGTAACTCAGGATGGTAGTCTAAAGACATCATTGACTCCCAACTTGGAGACTAAATATTCATGTTGTGGTGCTTCAATGACATATTCCTTCATTTGCTATTTGAGTACAATTCTCAAATTACGAAACCAGTCAAGGAAGTTTATACCATTAAGCTTATCCTTCTCGAGGAATGATCGCAGTGATAAAGTGTTGTTTACCATTAAATATACAACAATGGAAATATTAAAGTAAGTAAATTTACCGATTTAAAATTTATAAATAGGTATTTATTTACAAATTACTCCCACTATTTTATTCAAAATTTAAAACCCTCTCTGTTTTAATTTCATAAAAATTCAACAAAATTTTTTCTAGTGGGTGAGGATCCATAATACATAAATTTCCTAAATCAGCTTTGGCTTTTATTTTAGTGATTATTTAGGTAAGTAACACTTTACTAGTTACATCTCATGTAACTTCTCCTTTTAGTGAACAACTCTTGTTCAAGTCATCTCTTAACTTATCCAAATATTTAACCTCTAGGTTTTTAATCCTATTAGAATAATCTATCTAAGTTATTACCAATATCTCAACTGGTGAATATCACTTGCTTATTCTTCACGTTTAACCAAGATAGATTTATGTGTCAATGCTTTGGCAAAGCCCACACAATATATATCTAAGCCTTAACTAGAGTAAATATTGGACGGTTAAGTTAACTTGGATTATTTATCTCATCATTGTTCATTTTAATATTAGGCCCTTATTGATCTCATGAATATTCATTCTTATTTTATCATTTGATGCATTGCATACATAACAGATATAGCAATAA